AAAAAAAAAAAAAAAAAAAAAACTTAGTTTGAAGTTAGTCTAAAAAGGCTTGCAGAATATTCCTATGTGGGTGTAGGCTTGTAGCTCAAACATCTACATATATTAATATTATTGTTTGTGTAAAACTCGTGTATTACACTGGTAATTGTAAAAAAATTATACTTAAATTGAAAAGGTAATTGCATTATACCTATGTATTATATCGGTGCTTGTTAAAAAATGTATACAGAAATTAAAAAAGTAAAAAAATATAGTACTATGTTTTAAATTTAAACGTTTTTTTTAAATATATTATTATTATGATTATTTATATTTAAATTATACTATCATATATACTATATAATCATCTTATATTATAATATTTTCTTAACTTATATCATATAATTACTTTGTTGTTAAATTTAATTAATTTATAAATACCTTTAATTAGAAGGATATACTGCACAAGATCAAATACTAGTCTATTTCGTGAGTTAGAAGGATTTTAATTAATTTATAGTCCTTCTTTCAGGAATAAAATACCCAATTTTATTAATAATTGAATCTATTTAAATTTTAAATACCCCTAGTTCAAAAATGAACAAATAATTGGTTTGAAAAAAAAAAAACAAACACTTCATCTAACTCTAAATTGAAAACGTACTAGTACTAATACCCATGTACAACATGAGTGTTGAGTTAATGAATAGTGTAAAGTTATTTATGTTTAATACCAAACCTAACTCCAGAGCAAAAATAATATAAAAACAACATCACGAAGCATAGATTTTCGCCATATCAGCATCCGAAGCGTGAGAATCTGCCACCTAAGCTCAACATGTTTTGAATTAATATATAGGGAGGGATTTATTCAAGTACCAATATAATTATTATAAAAGATAAGTTGGACTCTAAAATTAGTATAATTCATAATAAAATTATAAAAAAAAATAATATTTTGTGATTTTCAAATAAATGAAAAAACTTTTATACTAAGCTTGTTCAATTAATTCACATCTTTTTTCAATAAATTTCTATCATTGGATTCGGGACATTACATAGGGTCGGTGAATATGACTTACATTGGGTTTGGGCCCAGGCC